AATCTTACAACAAAAATAACAAGATATGTCCTGAACCTCACACAACGTGAGATGGTAAGTCCAAAGCATTAAAGTGTAACTCCCAACAAGGAGTACTAGGGTTTCCCTTATTTCCTGAGTTCAATCACAACTCAACACCAAACACAATAGGTGGGGAAGGAAGGGTCAGGAAGGACGTGAAATCAGTCTTTTGTGTTATTTGTGCACACGTGGGCTTGTGGATGCCAGAGGATGCCATTATTCCTCAGGTGCCCTCCTTTGGGTGTGGGGGGCACAACAGGGTCTCACACTGGTCTGTAACTTTCCAAGGCGCCAAGGCTGGGTGGTCAGGGAGCTCCAGGGACCTGCCAACCAATGTCTCCCCAGTGCTATGAGTAGAAATAGGTGTCATCACTCCCTCCCCCTCCTCGCACCCCGAGTCATGGGTTCTGAGTATTTAACTCACTTCCTCAGGCTTGCAAGGGGAAGCCATCTCCCTAACCAGGAACTTAAATCTCTAGAACCTCACCAAATAGGACTGTTTTAAACCCAGGGCCCACACAATGCTTAAAATAGATGGCTGTAAGCCAACTAAAAAGGTCCCCATGGGAAAACATGCCAATGGGAACCACAAGCTTGGTGGCAGGAACATTTATGGTTACAATCAGGGCCTGGGAGAGAGGATCCTATCACAGAAACTCAACATTTGGTCAGATGTGCTTCCTTAACAATTTGGTTCACTAGGCTGAACTCTCTGCGGGAGTAAGGCTTCAAGCTCCAGAAGTCAAAACCAGTCAGCAGCAGTCTGCTTCCACGAATGCAATTTGACCACCAGTTGCAATGCCTTCCTAAGACCTAAAAGAGTTCAATTTTCATCCTCCACGGTCAAAGAAAGGGTTTATTCTTGGCAAAAAAAAAAAAGAAGAAGAAGAAGAAGAAAGGAAGGAAGGAAAGAAGGAAGGAAGGAAGGAAGGAAGGAAGGAAGGAAGGAAGGAAGGAAGGAAGGAAGGAAGGAAGAAACTAAGAAGTGTTTTTCCTCTCATTTTTAAAGGAAGAGAGAGATCAATGCTCAGAGCTAATCTCTCATATTTGGTGGCACGTGGAGATGAGGAGCCATGCGGTCAGGCCCTAACACCCATGCTTTTTCACACTCTAACACTAGTTAGCATGCATGTGTATGCTTTACTCAACCCTGCATGCCGAGTCTGTGTCTCTATAGTCTGTCACATGTGCTATACTGTGAGGTAGGGAAGACTGTTGTTCCTCCACATCCCGAGCCTCCATCCCTGCCCACCCATCCTAACATGTTGACAAGACTCCTGTTTCTTAAGTACAGCACTCAATGTACTCCTTCTAGTTAAAAAACAAAACAAAACAAAAAAACAAACCTTGTAGCATTCTGTTACTGACTATCACAGGAGAAAAAAAAAACCACAGGATCCAGCATAAGAAACATCTTGGCTGCATGAGTTGTGACCTTGAACAAGTATCTAAACTTGAGCATCTTTTTTTTTTTTTTTTTTTAACCTTTATGGGCACTGCTGTTTTATTTGCATGAAGGTGTCCAGTACCCTGAAACTGGAGTTACAGACAGTTGTGAGCTGCAAGTGGGTGCTGGGAATTGAACCCAGGTCCTCTGAAAGAACAGTCAATGTTCCTAATCATCTTAAGCCATCTCACTAGTCCCAAGCATCTTATTACTAAGTGAGAATGCTCTGGTATCAATTAATAAGACCTGAGTCACAGGAAGTGGTCTAACAGTCTGACACAACTCAATAACTAATTTATTGGTTATTAAAGCAAAGCAAGACTAACATTATACTTCTGTGTCTCTAGCAGCTTCGACCACCTGCATTTCCTTCTTGCCTAATGACCTCACACTTGTTCACTCTCCAAACTTCCTCGAACTTATTTTTGACACACTGGTATGAATGCAAGCACTCCCGAAAGGTACAATAGATAGTTAGGTGAGGCAAGAGTTGGGATGGACACCAGGTTATCAGGTTCTTCTCAGTTATTGATTAAACTGGCCAAGGCTTAAGTAAGTGCCTCAAGGGGGAATCCCGACAGTTGCTGGTAGTCATCTTGCAAAATGAACCTAAGGACTGAACCTGTATCTCAGAGGACTAGGGAAGTGGAGCAAAGGTCTTGCTTTCAAGGCCTTTACAGGTGTGTGAGGTTGAGCTTATCTGAACTGGGTTTTACTTCCTGCACCAAAAGCATCCTGACCAATTCAGCATCGCTAGAAACTGCAGTGACTGACAGACAGTTGTGCCATGAATCACACAGACACATGCCCCAGAAATCTACCTCTGACTCCCTCTTGGTGCAGCGTATAAAATAAGTGTGTATAAAAAGGTTCCAAATGTAAGCCAAATCAAGGAGTGCTTTGGAAACAGGAACTGTGCTTGACTCACCTTTGGATCCAAACATACCATCCATGCACACATTTAATACAAACCAGCTAATGAAAGTCAGCAAGATGATAATAAAACATGGACTGGGGAGATAGCTCGATTGGTAGAATGCTTGTCTAGCATGCTGAAGCCTCGGGTTCCATGCTGTGCACAGAACCAAGCAGATGTGTTAGCCTATGCCTACCATCCCAGTACTCAAGAAACAGAGGCAGGAAGACCAGAAGTTGAAGGCTAACCTCAGAAACCTATAAGCTGAGGCCAGCCTGGACTACATGAGATCCTGTCTTAAAACAAATGAACTAAGTATAGGAAAAATAAAGGAACATATTTTAGGCAGGTTTGAGAAACAGCACATTGTTAATCCTGGATGGTTTAGGAGTTTTTCAAGTTGATAAATAGCACAATTACATAAATGGCCTATAGCTGACTAGACAGACAACCCAAAAGCACAAGGGCATAGCAAGAACGGGGAATGCCGCTTGAGATAGACAGAGATGTATGAATTTAGAAAAGTCAGCATCGCTAGGCTTTAAAAACTCCAGATTTTTAAACAAACGAACAAAAAGATGGATGATAAGACTCCCCCAGGGGACCGAGGTATGTGGAAAGAAATACTTGGCAAACCCATTCTCTTACCATTAATCCATAAAACAGGGCTGATGGAGTAGCTCAGAGGTAGCAAGGTTTGTTGTGCATGTGTGAAATTCTGAATTTGACTCCCAGCATCAAGAAAGGCAGGGAAAGAGGCAAGGGAGAAGGGCAGACAAGTGAACTGCCCCTGAAAGGGAATGCATGCAGGGGGACAGGGGGGACAGACAATATAGGGAAGTGGTCTATGGATATCATGTGTTGGCAGATCACACATATATGGAGACGGCTAGTGAATGGCAGAGAAAAAGACAATACATGTGCTCTACAGTTCCTGGAAGACAAGGGAAGCAATTTCGCCTTGATTTGTGTATATACTTCACGTTGGAAATAAAACACAAGGGTGCATTCTCAACCTCTAAAGGCAGCACAAGCAGTAATTATGGCTAAAGCAGAGGAGGAAGTACTGGGGGAAAGGCTTCTGCAAACAACAGACATCCAAGGGCTAAGGTCCACGCCAAGAGAAACACTGTTAATCCCAGGAAAGTAAAAGGAAACATTTATCAAACCACTATTTAGCAGACCCCCAGTTGGTTCTTTCATTTATAGTCTCTTGAAACCACCTAATAAATTAGCGACATGGAACCTGGTTTACTGACAAGAAAAGCAAGTACAGTGTTTGAACTTCCTAGATACCTATTTTGAAAAATAGGTATGCTTCATTTTTCTTTCAAATTATCCTACATTCTGTGAAAGTGTATAACATTCCACCTTTTGTCTTCAGTTTGAAAGTTAAAGACGAAGAAAAAAATGCAAAATGAGATGGCGTGTAGAAAAAGTTGCCAGCAGGGATGTTATCATCAGGAGAAAACCTCCAAAGGGAAATAAGCAGCATTTCTTCCAAGGTCGCAGGCAAGCACCTGGGCTGACTAGATAATGATCCACCAGTGCCCAACTGTAGACGGAAATCTCAGGTCTGCATTCGCCTGATGCAAAGCCAGCTGTAGCTATAGATTCTGACCCAAATGCTGTGGCCTGAGTCTTGCAAGCAACAAAAGTACAAACCAACAGGTTGGAACGGCCAAGCGGTTAGAGGAACCAATTACAAAACCAACAGGCAGCACTGGCCCTCCCGTACAACAGTATGAAGCACTTCCTGCCACCGGCCCTGACATTAAAAAACAGAAAGAGTCGGAGCTGGGGAGAGGCTGCTTGCTTTCCACAATTTCTTATCAGACACCTCTCGGGTATCCAGCTAATGAGTCACGCAGTGCGTTCTTTCAATCGCCCTCTCCCCTTATGAAAATTCGGCCAATGCATCCTTCAAATTTGTAATCAAGGAGCCTAGAGATGAGCATAACTCATAATCTTGAGCGGGGACGCTACCAAGTTCAAAGGCGCTGAAGGGCTTCAAGATCATTAAAAAGGAACAGCTCTCCATCTGGGCGTTACTATCTTCACCCCAAAGATAGAGGAAGGGGGAAGCCTTGTTGCCAAGGAACAATTAAGGACACTTTTCCTAAAACTCCGAGCAGTGCACTCTATGGATCCGCAGATTCCAGGCCGCTGCCTGCACCGCAGTGCCTAGATCCCCACCGTCGCGGGGCAAGCAGGACTGCTAATACCAGGCAGAGTGGTCTCTGGCTTGTGAGCGTCCCTGGCAGCGGCAAAGGGGGGTGAGGGGGGAGCAGGGAAAGGCCAGCGCGCGGCCCCGACGCCCAGTGCCGCCCGGACCCGCGCTGGCTCCTGTGCTGCTGCCTAGAGAAAGCTCTGCGGAAGATCCTAGCCCGCCGCCATCCCTCCCTGCGATCTCCGCGCCTGTCAGCGCGCCAAAGTGGCTGCCACCCACGAACAGGTGCGAGAGCATCCCGGCAGAGCCCCACTCGGCCCCGGTGCCTACCGTCCCCACCACCACCACCCCACCCTGCCTGCCTGCCCAGCTCGGACCTCACGGCGCCAGCAGCCCGGCCGCGCCCCGGTGCCACGGCACCCACCAAGTTCCTGGAGGTGGCTCACCTCTCGGTCTGTGCGGCGGCTAGCAGCACCAGGCGATAGCAGGACCGCGCGAGCAGGAGGATGTGCAAGCGGACGCGGGAAGAGCAGCGAGCTGCAGCCGCGATGCAAGAGGAAGGCGCCCGGCAGCTTCAACCCCCGGCGTGGGCTGACCGTGACGTCACAATGGCGCGGCCAGCCAATCCGGGCCCGGAGGCTGGATCAAGCGCTATGATGTCATGAGCCCTTGGAGCCAATCCTGAAGCGGTAGAACTTTCGTGATTGTAAATTCCAGACTCCGATGAGGTGAGCAGCGGAGGCCAGGGTTGGTCTCCTGTGGTTCACGTGTCTAAGGGCAGTTTTCTGGCTTCTTCCTAATAAGCCTGCGTGGGACGCAGAGTCTGCGCAATAGTCATAGTGAAGTTCTAGATGCCCAGGGCTCTTTCCAGCATCCGAGGGTAAGGCTGGCGTGGTGTTTTTTGGCAGGCACCCACCTACCTAACGGACTACCTAACGGGCCACGATTCTGAAAGGGACCCAGTTCACGATTTGGGGTTGCAGTTGAGCAAGATGAAAAAGAAGAAAAAAAAAAAACCACTCGGAGCTTTGTAACGGTAATTCTTGGATAGATTGATCACACATTATTAGGAAATTGTGTTGATCTTGTAATGGAAAAGTTGGTAATGTCTTTCAGCGGGGCAATTTAAACACTTAAAATGGACTCGGGCAGAAAAGCAGAAGTCTTTCTGGTTTTCGCTGCTGTTTGATAATGCAGGGCCTTCATCCAAGTATCATACAGCTTCTCCCATTTCAAGCACTAGAAATTTGACGTGCGTGTGTGCGCGCGCATGTGCGTGCTTTAGTTCAAGGCCCCACACCCGTTGGCAAAACACATCCAACCGTTCAATGTAGGCACTTTCTTTCAGAGGGTAATGTTTATCATGTACCAGCAATGTTCCAGGACCCAAATTTTTGTGATAGGCATACAGATAACCAAACTGTGTATACATTAGATAATTTAAACATACACAAATTGTGGTAACAGTTAGTTGCCATTCGTTTCTACAGAGACTAGGACCTGCCTTCCCTGCAGCTGTCCAGAGTGTTAATCTGTTCATATGGATGTCTACATACACGAAGTTTTGCTGTTCAAGTGGCATGTGAGGACATATTTTGATGGCACAGGAGTAAATGTCCCTTACTAGCCACTCTTCCTCCAGAGCTAGCTAACGTCTCTGTCTCTACATATTCTGTCCTTTTGGGGGTTTAAGTTTTCAAATTGAAATTCAAATTCAATCTCAAATTTTATACCATACTCAAATGTTTATATTGTCTCCACCAATGAAATGTTGTAAGCCCATATAGCCAAAATATTTATATTTACTAAAAAAAAACAAGGACATGCTTCTTTCTTAGAGTTTCTATTGCTGTGAAGAGACATCATGACCATGCAACTCTTATTGAATTGGGGTGACTTGCTTCCAGTTTCAGAGGTTCAGTCCATTATCATCATGGTGGGACATGGTGTCCTCAGGCACATGTGGTGCTGGAGAAGTGGCTGAGAGTCCTACTTCTTTCAGACAACAGGAAATAGTCTGTGACACTGAGTGAAGTTTGAGCAAGAGACCTCAAAACGGGCCCCCCCAGTGACACACTTCCTCCAACAAGGGCACACTGACTTCAACAAGGCCATACCTCCTAATAGTGCCACACCCTTTGGGGGGGCATTTTCTTTCAAACCATCACCACATCAAACACTAAATAATGCTTTCTTACTTTAAAATAAAAATGAAGGGGGACTGGAGAGATGGCTCAGTAGTTAAGAGCACTGCTGCTCTTCCAGAGGTCCTGAGTTCAAGTCCCAGCAACCACATGGTGACTCACAACCGTCTGTAATGAGATCTGGTGCTCTCTTCTGGCATGTAGGACTACATGCAGGTAGAACACTGTATATATAATAAATAAATGAATTTTAAAAAGATTCTGTCTTAAAAAAAATAAAATAAAATGAGGTTATGTTTCCTGTCCCTCATTTAAAGACTATCTCTGCATATGCAGTTAGCCCATGTCCATTGTAGCTATTTTGCAGCTGCACAGTCTCAGTCTCTCGGGACCATGTTAAAGACCACCACCTGAGATTACTGAAACTGCTACTGTTTCATTAGGAGATATTTGCATGACATAATGAAATCTGTCTTTAAAATGTTAGTCCCTGGACGTTTCAGTGTTAACTAGAATCTAGGATGGCTGTTGTTTAAACTGAGGACGACGCCGGTCCATCTATTGAGCTTGCTCTTGCTCCCCTTCTCTTTCTTTCTCTTCTTCTCCTGTCTTCTCTCTGTTTTCCAGTTCTGTTTAGCACTATCTACCAACTTCATCTCAACAGAGAATTAAAACCCACATCCTAACAACAGCCTTTGGACCTTAATTATTTAGCATGTTGCTATTTCTCTGTCCTTCTAAAATTATCTGCCTTCTGTGGGGAGCCAAGAAAACCTTGAGTGAATGTGTAAGGAGTGGATGACGTCCTGAGTAAATGTGCACTTTTGACAAGAACCGATGCCTCAAACCCAAGGGAACTGGCAAAGCCTTTGTCTGGGTGAGACTCAGAGGCATAACAAAAGCCTTTCTCTGGTCCAAGTGTGCGTCCTTAGGAATGATCGACTGGGTGTATGCAAAAATTAGCAACTGCAGCTTCCTCCTCCCAGATGACTGCAGGGCCTTCAGAGAAATTCCCTCAGACCAGCTAGGCTCTTTCTGTACATAATAAACAATGCAAGGAAGGTTCCAGGTTATTAATAGTTGACGCAAGTCCATCCAAGTGACGTGCTCCACCTGATGCCGGCTTTTCTGTACGTGTGTCTGTCCATTTTTCATTCCCTCATCACACCAGTCAGGTTTCCAGGACCCAGCCATGATGGACACCGTGGCCTTTCCCAGAGGATAACCTCCTTCTTATTCTTTGAATTTAGCAAGCTCTAGACCACGGCAAGACCCTTGCTCTTGTTGTTTCTTTAAGCCTGCAAGGATTCAACCTAGAACTCTCCAAGGCTTTCAACTTTGTTTCATTTTGATCTTCGAATCAACACCACCTCCTCAGGAAGCAAGAGACATTCTTATCTGCCACTCCACACTGCCTTCTTCTTGCCTCCCGTTTTCTGGAACCTTTTGTCTCTCCTCAGTTTTTCTCCTTAGCACTCATCACTGTTTGACACACCACATTTGCTTTTTAATATTTATTATGCTGCCCCCCAATAAGCTTATTGAAAGCACAGATGCTGCTCTTTTTGTAACTGTATCCAAGGACTCAGAACAATACAATTAGGGTGGTGGCAAGATTAATAGATGGCTCAGCACTTAACACTTGCTGCCCTTGCCTAGGACCCGAAGTGTAAATGCCAGCAATCACATCAGGCAGCTCACAAACCCCTGTATTTCCAGTCTCAAGGGAGTGGACACTCTCCTCATACACACACACATTGTAGCACACAGAAACTCATGTGAGCACACACATATATATGTAGCATGATTCTAATTGGTCTTAATAATGAAAACACAGTCAGATATTAGGGAGTAAAAGCTGAAAAATCAGAGAAGCAGAGCAGCCAGCCACTAGTTCTCACCTCTACAAAATTCTCAGGCTGAATGGGTATCCTTTCTCCACAATTTCTCAGACTGAATGCCTTGAGATCCTGTCTCTTCCTGCCTTATATTCATCTCTCCACCCAGCCTTATCACTTCCTGTGTTGGATTAAAGGCATGTGACTCCCAAGTACTGGGATAAAAGATGTGAACCACCTCCTAGCTCTGTTCTTTTTCAGAATGGATCAATCTAGTGTAGTCCAGAGTGGCCTTGAACTCATAGAGATCCGTCTGCCTCTGCCTCCCGAGTGCTGGGAGTAAAGGTGTGCGCCACCACTGCCTGGCCTCTATGGCTAACTAGTGGCTTAGCTCTACACTCTGATCCTCATGCAAGCTTTATTTGTTATTGCACAAACAAGATATCACCACATATAAGTAAAAATAGCTTTTAAAAATGTTTTGTATTAATTTGAATATCAAACCCTTTTCCATGAGATAGAAACTATTATATTTATTGTAACAATTAGTCAAGTTTTAGGGGCTGGAGAACTAGTTCAGCAGTTGTGGTGGTCTTAAAGAAAATGGCCCCCAAAGAGAGTGGCACTATTAGGAGAGACATAGCCTTGTTGGAATAGGTGTGGTCTTGTTAGAGGGAAGTGTGTCTCTGTGGAGGCGGGCTTTGAGGTCTCATATATGCTCAAGCCATGCCCAGTGGTTCAGACCACTTCCTGTTGTCTGCAAGTCAAGATGTAGAACACTTGGTTACTTCTCCAGCACCATGTCTGCATGTATACCACCATGTCCCACCATAATGATAATGGACTAATCCTCTGAAACTGGAAGCCACCCCAGTGAAATGGTTTTTCTTCTAAAGAGTTGCTGTGGTCATGGTGTCTCTTCACGGCAATAGAAACCCTAACTAAGACAGAACTTAAAGGACCCACATGGTAGTTCATACCTATCTGTGAGTTCAGTTCCAGGAAACTGAACCTTTCTTCTGGCCTCTGCAGACACCAGGCATGCACACGGTACATATACACACATGCAGACAAAACACTCAGTCACATATTTTTACATTAAAAATAAATTAAAATTTGGTACCATATTTTCTCTTTTATTACTGAGATATTTCTAAGACCCTTTCCCAGTGCAGTTTGATTGCATTCATTTTTTTAAAAAAATTATTCTAGTTTATGAGTGTGTTTGTTCACATATATGTCTGTGCACCACATATGTGCCTGGTGCCCCAAGAGGTCAGAAGAGGGCATTGGATACCCTGTGGACAGTTCAGAGCCACCATGTAGGTGCTTGGAATTGAATGCCAGCGCATTGCAAGGACAAATATTTAATCTTAACTGCTATGTTACTTAATCTTAATGGCTGTCTCTCCAGCCCCCTAATTCTATTCTGTCAACAACATAATGATGAGAAAGTCAAGCCATACAAGACTCAAGTGGCATACCACATGGCCTCAAAGCCAGTTGGCAAAAATTAAGCCTTGAGTTGGCCACACTCAGTTTTTGACTTCTTCACATGCTTAAATTGTATACTTGGCTGAATTTTGTGGTTTATAAAGCAAACGTTAATAAAGTTGTGACTGAAATGAAA